TTTAAACAAAAAAACCAAAAAAAAAAAAAAATTTTTTGGTTTCAATTTTTTTTTTTTTTTTTTTTTTTTTTTTTTGAGAAAATTTTCAAAGCTTATTTTATTAATCCCTCCTGAGTCGAGAGGAAAACCTGATGATGGAGCAAAATCTGCACAATTTTAGCACATCTTTCCACCAGAGATTCTCTACAAACTATTTTAGCCTCAATCAGATTGGAGAAACTCTTTTAACCCTTTCATGCATAGTGGTCACTACAGCGGACAGCTGTCTAAAAGCCATAATTTTGTGCTTCTTGTGGATTTTTATGTTATGAAAGCACACAGACCACTGAAGTGGACACTAATGCATCATAAAACACATTATCAACTACAGGCCATCAGCTGAAATGCAAGAAATTATTTTTGTTAAATCCAATATGGCTGACAGACATAAAAGCACGCCGACCGACCCGGTCTCTCCTTCTACTGTAGACGACTTTTGCAGGTAAAAGTAATATTGTGACATCAGATAACTCCTAAAGAACAACACTACTGATGTTGTTCCTAATATTGCCTCCTAAAGGTAAACAAGTGTTATACAGTCTATCAGGTTTTCTTGCCACACAGCAACAGCATGATGCTGCCACCACAGGCAGATAATGTGTTTAGGGTGATTTGAAGTGTTTTTGTTTTGTTTTTATCTTAGATGGTACTCTGGGTCACAAAAATTACATTTCGATCTAATTTGATGGGATTTTCCCAAGTTTGCAGCGCCCCCTACACGGCTTGTTGGGAACTGTAAACAGGTCTTCCTGCGGGACGCTTTCAGCTTTCCTCTTGCCGCTACTCCATACATAGACACCAGATGCAGAGAGTGTTGAGGTAAACTGAGCTCAGGAAATTCATTCATAAACACCATCTATGTTAAATATTAACTCATTTTCTTCTACGTGTTTATTTTTTAGGCAAACATGGAATAATCCCAACAGTTTTTACTGTCCGGGATATTTTTTTCTCTCTTTCATTTTTAGTCTTCGGTGGCTGCTGCATCGACTCTTGATGCCACTAGATGGCGTTTGTTCAACGGAAGCACCAACCCAGCACCTTCAACCAATCAAATCAAGAGTTTTACGTGACTTCACAGTGAGATATTTCTTAACTTCATTTCTTTTTCTGGTATGAGTGAATAAAGTTCCTCTTTTTTAATTTTTTTTTTTTTGGAAGACTTATAAGGAAAGTAGAAGTTAATCTGCAACAGTCTCATGATGTTTAAAAAGTCATACAGTTATCCCTGATTCTGACCAAATATGTAAACTTCTGAATTCAAAGAAAGTTGCAAAATCCATCCATCCTCTTGCCTCTCCAGCTAACGTTCTGGGCGAGAGGCAGGGTCACCCTGGACAGGTCACCAGTCTGTCGCAGGGCAACACAGAGACAACCACACACTCACACCTAGGAGCAATTTGGAGAGGCCAATTAACCTGATAGTCATGTTTTTGGACTGTGGGAGGAAACCGGAGTACCCGGAGAAAACCCACACATGCACAGGGAGAACATGCAAACTCCATGCAGAAAGACCAGGGCCGGGAATTGAACCCAGAAACTTCTTGCTGCCAGGCAACAGCTCTACCAACTGCGTCACTGTGCGGCCTGGTTGCAAAATCATCTCTAAAAAAATTATCTGACCACATCTTCTGGCACTTAGCAAATAGAGCTAATTTTACTAATTCTAACCAACTTCAAGAGAGAAAACTTTGGTGGGACTAAACTTCAGACAGTGAGATAAAAATAGCTTTATTCAGTGTATGTAAATTTCTGTCGTCAGCTGCAGGAGGACTGGACTTCCACAGAGTTTTGTTGCAGTTATTCAGAAGCGTGTCTTTTTTTTCCAGAAGTGAAACACAAGCCAAGTCCTGCTTTTAAGAGAAACTGCTGTTCATGTTAACTCAGCATGATCAATAATTCAAGCTGAGGCTAATCTAGGTCTCCACAAGGTGAATGAAAATAAAAGGTGACAGCTCCTAACTTTTTATGGTTGGAAAAGTTCAGGTGGAGTGCTGCAATATATATATATATTTTTTTTTTTTTTTTTTTTTTTTTGCAAACCTTTGCACTACGGCCATTTCCACGCCCGAGCTGCGCCCGAAAATCTACAGTTTTTGACACGTTTCTCTCAGCTGTATGCAAGCAGAGCTAATCCCTCCTGAGTCAGGTCAGAGGTCACCGAGAGCTCATCACATGGGATCGGTTTCACAAGTACTCAGCTTGAATTTAAATTGGCTTCTCCAAGATTTTGATTGTCGAGTTTAAATAGATTTAAAATTAATTGAGATGTCTCTACACGTAAGGATTATTAAAGGAAAAAGACTTCCTCAGTTCTCATCCTGGGTGAGCTTTTAACCTGTAGTTTGACGAGTCCAGTAGGGCCGTCAAGGTCACATAAGTCGCTGCGCCTCCCGTCTGCCCTGTGGATCCTGCAGATCGTAGACACATGTGGGAAGTTTCCCATCATGCCAGCGGTTCAAAGGTGAGAATCGTATCGGTAAAATATCTTCTAAACGTCTTCATCCATTGTTTTGTCGTCATGTTGTGATTAAATCTCGATTAATTTCTGCTTTGGGTCCGGTCAAATTTCAATCCGGCTTGAATTAGATTAGAAGTTGTCCTAAACTATTTGAATTCATGCAAAATGATGAATCATCAGAGCGAGTAAATGAAAACATCCGGACTCAAAAGATCAGAAACATTAGAAAAATCTTTAGGCTGAAGCTAAATGATGATTAAATTATTCAAATCTGAGTAAAGTCTTTTTTTCTTTTAATAATTGGTCCCGCTGCATGTTAAACCCGTCGCCCACCACACTGATTCTAATATAGGTGTTAAATTCTCCAAACATGTTAAGATTTTTTTCTGTTCCATGTTATATATGAAAACATTGATAGTTCAAGTGCAGAAAGTCCTCATGAAATCCAACTACAGTACATCTGGAGCTTTTTACATCAGTCCAGCTGATACTGATGCAACATACTGAGATGAAATCACAGCCGGCCCAAGGCAGAAACAAACAGCGCTGCTGCTTTAGGCCCTCAGGCCAGCAGCACACACACACACACACACACACACACACACCCTCATAAGAGTATTTGTCATCCCACACAGGATACAGGAGCTAACATTTGTATTTTTGCTTATCAGAAATATCAACATTTTTATATATTTTTTAAAGGTTTTAACATTTTATTGGCAAATTTCCTACTTATCATTTAAAGTAAAACATTTGCTGTCATAATTTTGTAAATAATGTATCTGGTATATGAGTGATCATTGTGAATCCTCTGTGTTCAACCACTGAACGCTAAAACACATGTTATCTCGAGTTTACTCACTATTACTTAGAATGGTAAGCATAATTGCCTATTATTAAACTTTTTTTTTTTTTTTGCTCAAGTGAATCAATGAGTCACAAAACGCTGCTAAAAGGGGAAATCCTAATTTTTGGAATTGGGATCCTACAGAGTGTAATATCTTACCTGCAATATTTGGATGGACAAATAAACATAATTTATTTAAATTAACAAATAATATATTGAGGTTGAAGCTGATCAGAGTTGGGCAAAGAACAAAACTGAGTTCTTCATTTATAAAACAGCAAGTTCAGAAATTTCATAGGAGTTTACATAAACGCGGTATTAATGAACAGCTATGATGTTCCTGTCTTGTCTTTAAAACTAATATGTAAAAAATATTTTCCTGTGACATTTCTAGTGCTGTTTAAAAGCCACGTGACATATTAAAACATTTGTGAGATGTTCGGTTCAGTTGTTGCCTTGGTAACAACGTACTTGGAGAATTTAAAACATACATTAGCATTAGCATGGTGGGAGCGCGACACCTAATCAAACTCGGGCCTCATATAATTATAAGCTATCGAGATGCGCTACGGTAGGAAAGTGTGAGGGGGTAGCACAGATCGTCAGAACATTTAGTTTCCCGTTGGGTTGAGTTCAGAGTTTGAACGACGCTGTCAGCTAAAACAAAACAAAACAAAACAAAAAACAAAAACCGCCTCCGCTCCAGACTATTTGGTTTGAATAACTAAAATAATCATTTAGCTTCAGCCTAAAGATTTTTTTTTTTCTAACGGTTCCGGTCCCTTGGAGGGCCTACATGACTGCGTCATGATTAGGTCTTTCTGAGTTCATCACAGATCATCAGGAAGCTGCTTGACTCAACTATTGCGTTCTTTAAAAAAAAAAAAAATCTGCTCCCTCTCTCACCAGGAGCCCATTGTTAGGGCCCCCTGTCACTCGGACTCTGATCACTGCAGAGAGGCCATACCCGAAAAGGAGGAGGCGCCACGCGTTCTTCCTTTCCTTTGGTTGTGTGCTGATAGATAAGTATAAGGATCCCCACCGCCCGCCCTGAGGAATGCGATCACATCGGAGGGAATCGAGTCATTGTGTCGCTTTCTCTCGGCTCATTCAGAGACGCTCCAACATGCAGCAGCTGCTGATCCTTCCCGTTCTGCTGGCATCCTTCTGCACGGTGTGCGCCGGAGCAGGAGGTAGGTCACTGCACCTGATTTCATTCATTTGCGCAAAAAAAAAAAAAAAAAGACTTTAACGGATAAATCAAGGGACAGTTGAGAAAATATTTGTTGTCGTTGATTAATAATGCTCATGATCAATTTCTGTACTCACTTATTTCTAATGTTAACTGTACTTGGATGCGGAGATGCGTGCACCTGTCTTTGTTGCTGTTTTATTGAGACGGTAGAATGAGACTGATTTGGTTCCAAGCCTAAATATTCTCTAATTCCACGAAGAGAGAAGAGAGAGAGAGAGGTGATTAAAATTTTAAAAACGAGACAGACGTGTGCGCATCATAGATCGCTCCTCGGATAAAATTACTAGGAACCGAGCGGCGGGACAGCCGCACCTGCCCCGTCCATCACACTGGACGAGGCTCTCCAAAGCGCGTCCAACATTCACACCTTGCAGCGTCCAGAACTGACTGCGAGCTGCGTGGGAGGGCAGGAGAGGGGTCCCCTGCACCCCACCACCCCCTCACCCCCGCCCTCAGCCACAAAGTCCCCCCGTGAGGCGGAGACGCGAGCTGTGATTCCCTCATTTGCCCGTGAGGACGTCGGACACCGTCCTCTCTCTGGTGGCGCACCTGCTCGGTTCCGCGCGGAGTCGGTCTGTGACAGATTGGGGGTGCCGTTTGCCGCATAGATCCGCGTCGTGCGCGACGGTCGTGTCTCCAAATAAACAGCGACGGGTCGCAAAAGGGTCTCGTTTGCGCTCTAAAGCGTAGATGGGTCGAAATCACCCGGAGCGTCAAAATTACGCATGAAGAACAGCGGTCCGATCAGATTGCGCAGATCAGACTCAAAGTGTCAGACCGATTCCCATGTGAAGAGCTGAGGGCCATTAAGGAGCTAATTAGCCCCTCTGCAGCCCTCATGGTGTCCGTCATCCAGCACTGAGCCTCTCTGTGACCTCCGGGGCTTTGCGCATAAAAGGCGCAGCGGCGCTCTCCAGATTTTACGTGTCGTTTTCCGCTATTAAAGATGCGCCAACTTGGCCAGAGTGGCAGTCATTTACGTGTTTACGATGTTTTTAATGGGGCAGAATGAAAAGGGTGCGTTTAAGCCAGCTATGAAGGAAAAGGAAGAATCCCAAAGCTGTGCATGAATCAGACTCACTGAAACTCTGTTGGAGTTCCAGATATTTGCACTGAGACATTGAGAACAGTGATAGTCCGCTTTTGCTCCAGCTAACAGAAACCATTTCAGAAGACGACAGTAAAGGACGCAATAGCATTTGTGCTAAATTATCACAAAGAATTGATGTAGCGTCTTACAAACAACATTCATTTTCATTTAATGTTTCAGGTTTTGTCACATTGTGCCCTAAAAGCTGCAATTTATTTAGTTAGGATTTTATGTGAAAGACCAACACAAAGTTTAGACAGAAGTGGAAGGAAAATGACCAGTGGTGCTTTTCAAAAATGTGTTACCAAGAAATATCAGACAGTTGACAAAACGGTGAATGAGGGGGAATAATCAAAAGTTCCTTTTTTTTTTGTTGACAATATGTAGACAGCTACATAATGTCATTTTACCTGAACATATGCAGCTATTCCTGCCCAACAACACAAAACAAGGTCCAAAATTTAAATTCGCACATTATCAAATAAGCTAGTAACAGTTTAAATAGGGTAGAACAATCATACCACCAAAAGGTTATTAATAGTGGTAAACATATATTCATGCTCTGATTGAATAACACCACAAATAAAAATTGAAGATAAAACAACAAAAACAGAGAGCCCAACCCACTGCCAGTTTTTGTAGTTTGCATCAATCACAGAGTGTTATTTACACAATCGATTGAAACTTTAACCTAGATAAATTCCTAATTATTGATACGTCTAACGGGTAGAAGAAAAAAAAAGTATCCCCACAGTATGATGCTGCCGCCACCACGTTTCCTCAAGAGGACGCTGGTGTGTTCAGGTTGAGGTGCAGTGTTGGGTTTTCCACCGCATAGTGTTTGGCACGTAGAACCAAAAAATACA